AAAACCAATTGCATGGTCTAGTGCTTCAGTCCTTTATCCAGGTTAGTCATGTTTATAAAATGTCTTCAATAGTATAACTGAGTTTATGGTTGTGAATAACTATGAAGCCAAAATACACAGACTTCTAAGGTCTTCCAAATTCTGGAAATCTACAGGGTATTAATCCCCAAGAGACTAGCTCATTCCAAACTTCTGAAAAACTTGAATGTTTGCAGTTTTGTTTTAATGTGCCAGGTTCATTCTGGGTGTAACTCAACAGAGTTCAGGGAAACTTACACCATGGTCAAATTTGGCAAAAAGCTTTCTACTAATGTTGAAACAAAATGGAATGCTGCTGTCAGCTCTTTGGTTGTCCTTGTAGTTCTCTGATTCTTTTAATTATCAATAGCAATATGTTATCATTATATAATGGAATTAAACACATATGGATTTGATTAAGTGGCAATCATTCTATACTGTTTCCATCCCAATCAGTCCCAGACAAAAAGTATGTTCAAGTGTGCTCTAATTGCTTCCATATTTGTAGTTGTTACTATAAACACAAAATAACTGTTTTTCTTTGTACAGTTGCCACTCTCAGCCATCATGCGTTTTAGGATACTAGTCAATTCCCATCACATGTAGTCATCTATTTATGTTACTTCTATTATTACTTTAAAATAGTTAACTGTACAACTGATGAGGATACCAACTTATAGAAAAATAATCAGTTCATTTCACAAGTCTGATCTAATTTTCAGGCTTGCATGTAGTATACCTTAATTTTTCCTCTAATTTGGCAGACACAGGATAACTTGTACTATTAAAATAGCACTGGAGTGGTATAAATGAATGTTTCATAAAGATTTATTACAAACTGGGAGCCCTTAGTGGTTTTCTGCAGTTTATGGCAAGATAACTGTTATTCTTCTCTGCACAGGACAAGAAGTCATATTGTTTCTGGTGGCATATTATGTGAAAGGTGGCATCTGCTTCTCACAGGTGCGAAAAAGAATTTCTGTGATTAACCCCTCTCTATCACAGCACCTGTCTGCTGCTGGTTAAGAGATCAGGGGAGATTGAAAGTATCTTCAGGAGTATAGGGTGCCAAGCCAGGAGCCTGATCGTTTTGCTTTCAGTTCCTGTTTTGGATTTTGGCAAGAAAGGAAGAGGATGCTGCTGCACCTCCTCACTCTTCTCACTGCTTGTACACTCAACAGGTCAATTGAAGAGGTCATGATGAGGAGGAGCAGTTCAGCAGGGCCAGGAGACTCTGGGAATTCATGGTGGGCCCTGGTATGGAGTGGCTCCAATCGGTGTCTGATGAAGCTGACCTCACTTTGCCTTCTTCCCTGCATGACTGGATGAATGAGGGCCTCCAAGACTCTGCAGTGCCTAATAAGTGCTGGCCTATATTTGGACATCTGAGAATAAGCCTGCCAGGTCTTCACATACAGGCACTATATGGTGCCTATATTTCCAAATGCCCCAAGATGCAGCACACTGTTCCTTTACCTGTCACTTGCCCACCCTTCTCTCTTATCTGTTGTGTCTAGGAAGACAGCAATTATTGACTTGCATCCCGATTCCTTGATCTGCTGGAGAGAGGATACTGCTCGCAGAATGAGATTCCCATGTCCTCCTCTTCCAACTGTGCATCCTTTGTATCTCCCTCAGAACCATGGTGGAGCCCTGTACAGAAGCCTCCTGGACCGGACTGACAGTTGACACTTCAGCACTGGTAATGGGCAGCAAGCTTGTTTTAGGGACACAGGCCAGGCTGAGTAGCATACACTCCTCTGCCCACAGTCACCTCCCTGCAGCTCAGCATCTGCTCTGCTATCTAAGGCAAGTGCTTCACTCTTATCTCATGGCAGAGCCTGAATTGCTTTCAAATGGCAGCAGTGCAAGCTGGGCTGCTACTCCTATTATACACTTAGTTACCATAGAAGTGAGGCAATCCAATGTTCTTTTCCTTGCATGCCAGAAAGCCATTTATTGGTTAGTGTGTATGTGGGTTTTCTGTTTCCAGCAGCCAGCAATTCTCATAGGATGCCCTGCAAGTTTGTTTTAAAATACCAATGTGGACACTAGTACAAGTTTTAGACCTTTTTGTTAAAATCTGTTTCTGAGGGCTGAAATGGTGATGACCAATTGACAGGAGAGGTTGTTTTATATCTTCTGCTGAGGAGAATGAACTTGAGTCAGACTGCTTTGTGAAGTTGGATAGAATTAGGTAGGTTACAGTCGAGTGAAATGTGTTACATAAAAGTTATTAGTTCTTACACATTTTAGCCTGCCAACTTGCATTAAATCTGTTATATCTATAGTAAGTCAGCAGTCCCTTGCCCTTTTGGCTGCATCTTAATCAGCAAAAACTTTTGTTGTGTGTCTACTGCATAGTACAATGCCTTTTTGATAAAGGATTGTCTAATTCTGCTATTTACTGGTGATGCAAAGCAACTAATATTTCTTTGCTTTGGCAATGTCCAGTAGTTGATTTTCTTGCCAAGTAGATTTGGTACTTGAACAATCTTTACTATTCATTGATGTATGTAGTCTTTTAAATTATTTACCTGCTTGATTCAAGTTAACAAATGGTACAAGGAAATAGATTTTCTGAGATCCTTTTGAGAGCTCAGATAGTACAAAGTTGGAAGGATAAGCACGCATATCCAAAAATGCAACAGACTAAGGACTTTACAATACTTTTGATATAAGAACTGGTAGCATCTACAAACCAAACTGAAATGGGTGTTTGGTCCATTATTTTTGAAGCCTATGTATGGTTGATAGAAAGTTTTACTCATTTCATTCAAAACCAAGCATATTTTCTAAAAACGGGAAAAATTAAAAAGGGTACCCATAGGCACCATACTGAGGACCCCTTAAATAAATAGTCTTTGCTCTGAGCTCAGTCCTTCCCTTCATGTCCTTAGTCTTGAGACCACCATACAGTCTTTGCAATGCAGATTGTTATTGGCACTTCACAGCAGCAAGACAAAGTAACTCTACAAATCCTTTAGTGAGTTGAAAGATAAGGGTCTGGTTTATTTCAAGCATGTTTAACCTAAACTGGAAATGTCTCCCCAAAATTCTTTCCTATTGTGGGTTTCACTCACAGGGTAGCTCCTGCTAGTGAAGAGCTAACCACTGAGACCCATGCAAGTCCTCTAACTGGGCAGCTTGTCCCTCTGGATGCTTTGCCAGGGGTTTAGGGACTGGGCAAGACAATGGGTCTCCTTCCTCCTAGGAAGAGCTTTAAGCTAAGATAGACTGGCATTTTCTCCTGCTTTTTATGTCTGGTCCCACTCACTATTGGAATGTACCCCCAAGAACTCTGAAATGGTATTCAGTTCTCAGACTGAAAATGGTTTAACACCCCTAATTTAAACAAAAGCTTTGAGCATTGCAGGCAGTAGAAATTCAAGTGCTGCCTTTCCTATTTCCAAGCTTAGAGATGAAGCAGAGATTTTTTGAAAACAGCAAATGGATCTGTGAGAAGAACAGATCTTTTTTTTTCTCTTTAATTAAAAAAAATCCTCATTCCATTTCTCCAGCACAAAACATTCACAGTTTGAGCTGCTATTTGATCCAGAGAACAATTTATCACAATAATTTATGGTGTGAGGAGGGGTAGGGAATTTATATTGGGAAACCTGTATGTGAAAAGTGAGCATTTAGCGTGATCGGAATTAGGCCTCCCACACCTTCTCCCCAAAACTGAATTTAATATTTGAAAAAACGAATAAACAAACAGAAGAGATCCAGTCATGGGTCTTCTACTGTCACACATGGATTCTTCCTGACAAACTTCACCTGTTGAGTGTCATACATCTGTTAAAGGCACAGAACCTCTTTAGCTGGAATGCTGGATTAAAGGATCAGGTTAAGACAACTTCATTGGCTTACTGAATTATGTATCACAAAGAAAGTAATTGAAGCAGGATGTTGAACAAATCCCACAAAACTGAAACAACATAAGGATATTCCTCTAATTAACAACAGTTAAATCTACTTTCTGGACTGAATACTCTTATAGATTATTATTCTATTTTCCTTTTTAAACAGAAGCAAAGCTGGTGATTACCAGCAAAGATCAATGAGAGAGGAAAATACATAGTAGATGCACAAGGCCTGAATGGAAATGTCTGTGGACTCCTGAATCTGTTTAAGGCTTCCGAATAAGGTTCAAGCCTCTTTACCTACAAGAGTCTCAAACCCATTTAAGCCTTCTTGAAATCAAAGGAATTTAACAATGCCTTTTTCTTTACCAGCCATACCTTACAAGGTTATGGTAAGGATTGCAGCTAGATATTGCATGTGAACTTAGATGCTTGAAAATGCTATACACACGTGAAATATGTTTCTTATTCTTTAATCATCATCATCATCATCATCATCTTAATTACAGAAGTTTGGTGGACTGCAGGGAACAATTCTGTTGTGGAAAAAGCCATGTAAGTATGTTGGCACCTTGTTCTCAGCAGAGTAACTGGGAACCATTTAGTACAGCAGCAGTGGCTCTGTGAAGGAGGCAGAGGATCCAGTGGGGCAGGGAGTAAAACTCTTTTTGGATGGAGACACAGGTAGATGCCTAGCCATGGCTGCCACTGATGTTCTCCCAAACATTATTGAGAGATTGGCTGGATTTTTTTTAATTCAATATATTCTGTTGAACAATAAATTGTGCTTGAATGGCACATAGCCATATATTTCAAATACATCAATAATATACATTTGTCTCCTAGTGAAGCATACAATTAAGGTAGTTCCTTAACAGTTCATTGTATTGATACTCCGTTTGCAAGTAGTAAGCTAGCATTTGCTTAGGGTTATTATGCTAACACATAAATTCCTATGTCTTCTTTACACATATGGATCCTTATTCAGTATCACCACTGTTGAACAATATCATCACTCACAATTGCATCCATTTGGTCAGTAGAGAAGAGGAAATAGTGAGGAAAAAACTTTCAGCTCCCTGCCTTGCACTGCTAGTCTATGTGGCTGTATTTGAGGGACTATGTGCAAGAGTCCCAGTTAGTACTTTAGGCCAGAGTATTGCACAGATGGTCAATTCTTCATCAAGGATAGGAGTGTAGTCTCTGCAGCTCAGAATATAGTTTCTTTGCCAGTAGCAGCAGTAAAGTAAGAGCAATCTGACTTATGGTGACTGAGATCTGTGTGCCTAACCCCATAACCCAAGATAGAAAGAGCCCCTGAGTTGGGGGCCATTAAACACCCTGATATAGGGATACTACTAGGAAAGAGAAAATGCTAAGTTTGATTGTAGTTGCCTTAACATTGTCTTACTCTGAAGGAGCTCGTATTGACAATAGCAAATTCCATTGAAATCATTAGGACTGGAAAGTGGTAGTTAAAACACAAGAATCAAACATTTTACTAACTTACTCAAAACCACTCAGTTTTGTGGTTCTTCTGACTTCTGAGAGTGGAATTTATCTTTTCTTGCAGAGAATATAGATGTCTTAGTTTTATATTAGATAGCCACTAGAGGGGGATGTTGGTTTAGACCGTCTTCCATTTTTATTATTCTCAAAGGGTAAAGTAAATGTTAGTGAATTAAGAAAGGAATATAGTGAAATGGCATTGGTTCAAGAAAAGGACTCAGTATACATTGAGCATGCAGCATCATTTTTGCTGTATAAAAACTTGTTGGCACTGGCAGGTATCCAAGCAAGCTTGGCAAGAGTGGCAAGGTGCTTAAAAAAAATGCTCTTGTCATATAGCTTGGTAGCCAGTCTCAAGTACCATGATGGGGTCAGTTGACTGGTTTTGGATGCCACGACAGCCCATCGGGGTACAACCCCTAAAAGAGTCCATTGCCCACAAACAAGCCATCCTGCAGGAATTGGTCTAGGTTCTTACAACATGTCACCATATCATGGGTTTTTGTGTTCTGTGAACCCAGTCATAGTCATTTGCCAAAATAACATGGCTCACCAGTACTTAAATGTGCATAGAGTTCAGGATGGTGTTAAAAAACTATTATGTCTACCACCTCCTGAATTATATACATGGTACTCAACCTCATAGAGAAATCTGGGCACTCTGTAGGTGATGAAGGTGGAAGGGCTCTACAACAGTCTCTGAATCAGGGCAACAGCCTTTGGATGCCTGGACCAAGGCAGAAAGCTTAGCAGCTTCGGTAGCATGTCAAAATGATAAGCATGTGCTAACATACTTGCATATCCTAAGTCATTTTCATGCAGGAAGTTGTATTAGTCTGCTGCAGTCGAAAGCAAGTCTTGTTGCACCTTAAAGGCTAACAAGTTTATTATGGCATAAGCTTCTGTGAATGGTTTTTATACTTGGTTGCAAACCACCCAGAGAGCTTTGGCTATAGGCAATAAGGAAATGAGATGAGGATGAGGATGCTAGTTCACAAATATTTGTGCCATTATTTTTTAGACTTTAATGGACTACACATTTGCTTTTATCATAAAACCATTATATTGTTTTCAGAAAATAGAAAAGTTGTATCAGAAGGACATCCAACTTTCCAAATTGTAGCATTCTGGTAGGTAGTTACAAATAATTTCAATATACAGCTGTATGAGCTGTAAATCACTGATCTTAAAGTTTAGCAGAATTAAATTTAAAAAATAAGACCACATAATTGCTTTCCAGTTTTTAATGCTTTCTTGTAAAATTGAAAATATAAAACCAGCTGAGCAAAGTGAAAACGTTTATGTACATGAGGTCTGTGATTTTTAAAGAAATTCTTTAAGGAAAACTTCCAATGAATTAACTGTGATTAAAGGGACCAGCATTCTTAAATTGAAAACATACTTCCCTGCGGAAAAAAAAAAGAAGTTTTTACAAGCATGTTATATAATTTTGATTTTACTTGAAGGACTTACATATCAAGCAGTTTTAGATGCTCCTCCTTTCTTCCTTAAGAGAATCATTTTCAAAGTGCCACAGCAAAGGAATAGATAACAATAATTATACAGTTTATTCCTTTATGAAATAGATTGGTAAATGTGAGAGGCTGCATTACATGAGAACATAAAAAGTTGCAGATTAAATATAGTAAAGGTAGTTGAACAACAATTCTGTAAATACAAAGGACATTATAAACATAAGGAAAACAAAATTCAAGGTAAGACTTAGGTATCTGTGTAGATGGGAGGAATGTGATTCAAACAGTGGTCAAAAGTGCCATTTTGGAAAAATCCATTATTGTCTTCTGTTCCATTGATAACTTCTTCTGATACACATTGTGCTTCAGAAATGGCCTCATAGCCTGGAAATACAGCAAGCACATGAGACCAATTAATATATGATGTAGCAAATACAATATGAGTTTGAGGTATATACACAGTATATTCAGTTATTAAGACTTATTTCCTCTTGATTTTTGATAATGCAAATAAGCCTTAATCAGTGGAGAGCAGGGAGGAAGAGAGCTGGTGAACACTTCCCCTCCTGCCTTTTATCCATTAAATCTTTTCCCATTCCTTTCATCCCTGCAGAGAGGAAGAGAAGCATCCAAATGTAGGTTGAGCTGCAGGTTGAGCTGCAGAGATACAGAATGGAGCGTTTGTTCACTTCATATGGGAAACAACATGGCAGGTCCCCAATACATGTGGCACAACAGATTCATGATTTCTGCACCCAGTCCTATGATAAATTGTCATTAAAGTCTGTAATATAAAGACCTAGCTGTAATTTGCCTGGAAGTTATAGCAAAACATTTTGATGCATACCTTTGTGTTGGTGATGTGCAATCCTGTGGCTGCCCGAAACTGTCTGGGGGCCTATGGGATTATTTAGAACCCCAGTTCTGAGGTCTTGAGGCCTCAGAGCTGGGACTCCGAAGGCTGAGCCCCTGCTCTGCCATCAGCTGTGTGAAAACCACCACATCGACCACTCCCTGAGGTTGCACCTGAGCCTTGGAGAGGCATGTGGTGGGGCAGAGACCAGGGCCATCCCTTTGTGCTGATTTCTCTTGGTTTTCCAGGCTCCTTCCCTCCCCTTGCTTGGTGCTGTACCTAAATGGCCCTAAGCAGATGTCCAGATCAGATACATGATGCAAGGCAGGCGTGGTGTGGTAGAGATTGCCATTGTCATGCCTCCCTCTGAGCACTGGGTGCATGTAAGCTTCCCCACTGAGAGGGTTTAGGTCCCTCTAAGGTGGAGAGCACTGGGTTGTGCCTTAAGTCCTGGTAGCCTTACAGGTACGATATCATACTGCTGGAGACAATGCTGAGGATTGAAAGTCTCTTATTTTTGGGTCAGGATGGAAACAATATGCTTCTAAAATGAACCTGGAGCCTGGTGCCGTTCCGCAAGTTTTTAAAGAAAACTTCAGAGATCTATGGAAGTCATTTGTATGATGGGACCCATGGCAAATGAAGATTGAAAGCCACAGAGCATGTCACAGTCACACAATCGGGGGGCGGGGGGGGGGAGAAGCTACAGGGGTTTGTGTTGCTTGTTACACATATCAATACACAGTATCTAGTCACCCTGGCTTGATTTGTGTGACATGCCAGCCACCCTTCCAGAGTTAATCATGCATTTCCCCATACCCAGGCATGCAGTAAGCACACGGAGATGCTTGCTTCCCCCTGCATGATAATACAGACCTAGTTTTTGAGTGTGTGAGAGAAGAGACACACACCTCTACTATTTTGAACAGTGAGTGTAATAAAAAGTCTTCAAGTCTTTTAAACATTTTAATCCTCTGGACCCTAGGCCACAATTTAGAAACCACTACCAGTGCAGTTCTGTGGCTGCTTAGATGTCTAGACGGCCACAGGATTTTTCAGAGACCCAGCTACAAGGCTGTAAAAGTGTTCTAGGCTTGTAGCTGGGACTTCAGCCTCACACCACTTACCCCCTGCTGGCGCAGAAAGAGCCATGCAGGCTGCATTTCTGAGGCTGCATAAGTGACCTTGGAGATGGGGTTGATGGGGAATTCTAGGGGGTGGGGAGGGATAGAGACAAGTGATACAAAGTATCATGACAGTGTCTCAGTCTTGTTCCCCTGTAATCTGAGACAGCCAAAATCAACCTTCCAAGTATTTTGCAGGCTTGAGGAAGAGCAGAAGTGACTGTTGCTTCTACACTACTCACCCTGCATAAGATTCCTATATTCTCCACATTTTCAGTGTTACAGCTATGCAGACTGGATTGCACCCTAAATTATGGAGTTCTTATTCAAAGATGTATTCATTACATTTCTATACCATTTAATAGCTAAAGCTATTTAGGAGGTTTATGAAAGGAAATCAGCCTTTCCTTTCATAAACCTTAAAATACAATATAAACATAATTATTAAACTCATGTATATGCAAAACCCCTTCATGGATCACTGCCTTGCCATGGTGAAGGGGCTTGCATAGCACAATAATACTATGAGCTATGCTGTGCAGGGTCACCCAAGATGAACAGGTCATAGTAGAGAACTCTGACAAAATGTGATCCACTGGAGAAGGAAATGGCAACCCCCTCCAGTAACTTTGCCATGAAAACCTCATGGACAGTACCAAAAGGCAAAAAGATATGACACCGGAAGATGAGCCCCTCAGGTCAGAAGGTGTCCAATATGCTACTGGGGAACAGCAGACAGCTAGCTAGTACAAGTAGCACCAGAAAAAGTGAAGTGACTGGGTCAAAACCGAAAAGACACCCAGTTGCAAATGTATCTGATGGTGAAAGGAAAGTTCAATATGTAAAGAATAATACTGCATAGGAATCTGGAATGTAAGATCCATGAATCAAGGTAAGCTGGATGTGGTCAAACATGAGATGATAAGACTGAACATTGACATCTTGGCAATCAGTAAACTCAAATGGACAGGAATGGGTGAATTTAATTCAGATGATCATCAGGTACACTACTGCAGGCAAGAATCCCTCAGAAGAAATGGAGTAGCCTTCATAGTCAATAAAAGAGTAGGAAAAGCAGTACTGGGATACAATCTCCAAAATGACAGAATGATCTCAGTTCGAATCCAAGGAAAACCATTCAACATCACAATAGTCCAAGTCTATGCCCCAACCACTGGTGCTGAAGAGGCTGAAGTTGACCAGTTCTATGAAGGCCTACAACACCTTCTAGAATTAACACCAAAAAATGATGTCCTTATCATCATGGGGGATTGGAAGCTAAAGTAGGAAACCAAAAGATAACCGGAATAACAGGCAAGTTTGGCCTTGGAGTACAAAATGAAGCAGGGCACAGGCTGGTAGAATGTTGGCAAGAGAATATGATGGTCATAGCAAACACTCTTTTCCAACAACCCAAGAGACAATGCTATACATGAACATCACCAGATGGTGAACACCGAAATCAGATAGATTTATGTAGTTTGCAGCCAAAGATGGAGAAGCTCTATACAGTCAGTAAAAACAAGACCAGTCGCTCACTGTGGTTCAGATCATGGGCTTCTTGTTGCAAAATTCAGGCTTAAATTGAAGAAAGTAGGGAAAAGCACTAGGCCACTCAGGTATGACCTAAATTATATTCCTTTTGAATATATAGTGGAGGTGACAAATAGATTTAAGGAATTAGAGTGCCTGAAGAACTGTGGATGGAGGTTCTCAACTTTGTACAGGAGGTAGCAACTAAAATCATCCCAAAGAAAAAGAAATGCAGGAAAGCAAAATGGCTGTCTGAGGAAGCTTCACAAATAGCTGAGCAGAGAAGGGAAGCAAAAGGAAAGGGAGAAAGAGAAAGATACACCCAATTGAATGAAGAATTCCAGAGAATACCTAGAAAAGAAGGCCTTCTTAAATGAACAGTCGAAGAAATAGAGGAAACCAATAGAATGGAAAAGACTAGAGATCTCTTCAAGAAAATTGGAGATATGAAGGGAACATTTCATGCAAAGATGGGCATGATAAAGGACGAAAATGGCAGGGACCTAATAGAGCTAGAAGAGATTAAGAAGAGGTTGCATGATTTCACGAAAGAACAATACGAGAAAGATCTTAATGTCCCTGATAACCATGATGGTGTGGTTGCTGATCTCGAGCCAGATATTCTGGAGTGAATAGTCAAATGGGCCTTAGGAAGTCTGAGCAACAACAAAGCTAGTGGAGGTGATGGTATTCCAGATGAACTATTCAAAATCCTAAAAGACGATGCAATTAAAGTGCTACACTCAATATGCCAGCAAATTTGGAAAACTCAACAGTGGCCACAGGATTGGAAAAGGACACTTTACATTCCAATCTCAAAGAAGGGCAACGCCAAAGAATGTTCAAACTACCGCACCATTGCACTCATTTCACATGCTAGCAAAGTTATGCTCAAACTCCTACAAACTAGACTTCAGTAGTATGTGGACCGAGAACTATCAGAAGTACAGGCAGGATTCTGAAGCGGCAGAGGAACTAGAGATGAAAGTGCCAACATATGCTGGATCATGGAGAACGCTAGGGAGTTCCAGAAAAACATCTACTTTATTGACTATGCTAAAGGCTTTGATTCTGAGGATCACAACAAACTGTGGCAAATGGGAGTACCAGAACATCTTATTTGTCTCTTGAAAAACCTCTATGTGGGTCAATAAGCAACAGTGTAAACTGGACATGGAGCTACTGATTGGTTCAACATTGGGAAAGGAGTATGGCAAGGCTGTATATTGTCCTCCTGTGTATTTAACTTATATGCAGAGCACATCATGAAAAAGGCGGGCCTAGATGAATCACAAGTTGGAATTAAGATTGCCGGGAGAAATATCAACAACCTCAGCTATGCAGATGATTCTACTCTAATGGCAGAAACTGAAGAGGAACTAAAGAGCCTCTTGATGCGGGTGAAGGAGGAGAGTGCAAAAGTTGGCTTGAAACTCAACATCAAGAAAACTAAGATCATGGCATCCGGTCCTATCACTTCCTGGCAAATAGATGAGGAAGAAATGGATGTAGTGACAGATTTTATTTTCCTGGGCTCCAAGATCACCACAGATGGGGACTGCAGCCAAGAAATTAAAAGACACTTGCTCCTGGGGAGGAGAGCTATGGCAAATCTAGACAGCATACTAAAAAGCAGAGACATTACCCTGCTGACAAAAGTTCATATAGTCAAGGCTATGAGAACCATCTACAAGGCTATGGGTTTCCCAGTTGTAATGTATGGCTGTGAAAGTTGGATCACAAGGCAAACTGACTGCCAAAGAATTGAGGCCTTTGAATTGTGGTGCTGGAGAAGACTCCTGCAAGTCCCTTGGACTGCAAGGAGATCAACCCTGACTGCTCTTTAGAAGGCCAGATGCTGAAGATGAGACTCAAATACTCTGGCCATATAATGAGAAGGAAGGACTCACTGGAGAAGACCTGATGCTGGGATCAATTGAAGGAGAAGGGGATGGCAGATGTTGAGGTGGCTATATGGGGTCACTGGGGCAGTTGGTGTTGGCTCGGGTGGACTCTGGCAGATGGTTGTGGAAAGGAGAGCCTGGACGAATGGTGTCCATGGGGTCATGATGAGTAAGACATGATTGTGCGACTAAACAACAACAACAACATATGCAAAAACAGTTTAACACAACAATACAAACCCCAGATATCCATCTCAGTCATGTTTCAGGCCTAGTTTTCTTCCAGAAATTGCTTTAGTTGCCCTATATGCTGATCTGTGCTGGTAAAAAGATAGGGAAGGTTGACCTGTGATACTTGCGGATTTCTCAGCAGCTTTCAAAACCATCATCCATGGTATCTTAAGGGGGAATTTCTGAATTGGGAGGGGGGTACTGTGTTACATTCCTACTTAGAGGGCCATCTCCAGAAGGTGGTGCTTAGGGAATATTGTTCAATCCCAAGAACTCTCTAGCATGGAGTTCCTCAGGAGTCTGTTCTGCTCCTCATGCTTTTTAACATTTATATGAAACCATTAAGTGGGGTCATCTGGAGTTCTGGCATGCATTTCCCTCAGTATGCTGATGACATGTAGCTGTTTCTCTTTTTCATCATCAGCAGATGATGTGTTAACCAGTGTCTAGCTGCAACAGTGCACTGGATGAGAGCTAACAAACTGAACCTCAATCCCAACAAGATGAGATGCTGTTGATGAGTAGTCCCTTTGTCCACTTCAACCTGTTCTAGATTGGGTTGCAGTCTCCTTAAAGCAGCAGGTTCATAGTTGGGGGTTCTCCTTAATCCATCTTTGTCACTTGAGGCCTCTGTGGCACAGAGTGCCTTGTACCAGCTTCAGTGGGTGGCCCAGTTATGCCCTTGTGTGGACAGGGATAGGCTGGTTTTAATAATCTATACTCTGGTAATCACTAAATTTGATTAGTACAATGCACTGTACATGGGACTGCCTTTGAAGACAGTTCAGAAACTGCAGTTCATGCAAAATGTGGTAATTCCATTAATAACTGGTGCCCCTAGGTCTGAACACGGCCAGTTCTAGTCCACATGCATTGGCTGCCTGTATGCTTCCAGGCCCAATTCAAGGTGCTGGTGTTAACCTATAAAGCCTTACATGGTTTGGGACCACAATACTTGTTGGAACAGCTCTCCCAATTGCAGTTATTCAGATGCTATGCTCAACATCTGGGGCCTTCTCTGAGTGTCAACTCAGAGGAAGGCTTGGGAAGTTGCAACAAGGCCTTTGTGAAGAGCCCATGTATAGAACTTTTTCCACAAACCCTTCTTTGATTTGATTATATTTTTATTGCCTTGCCGTGTTTTCATGGATCGCTGTAAACTGTCCAGGGAGCTTCAACCATGGGGTGCTTTAGAAGTGAAATACATAATTTTTAAAATCCTGTCAAATGCCTTATATTGCAGGAAAGTCTTGGCATCAAACAGATGACACTGCTGATGTCAGGTGGATCTCACTGAAGAATGTGCTCTATTTTCAAAGAACAACTACCAGAAAAGTCTTCATCTTTGTTCAGAGTGTAGATTTGCAAGTTAATGACACAAATCAGTGTAGCAAAGCAACAAAAGGGGGAAGGGGATCCCTTGAAGATAAGAAGTCAAGACCTGGATGGAGAAAAGTATGGAGCCCTGGAATGTGTCATCCATTTCCTGCAACGTCCAAACCATTAGTTTCAGGACTTTCTGGATAGTCTTCTGAAAAGTAGCCTTCAAAAAATAGAACCCATTGTAAAGGAACTTGTTTGACTTTCATGCTGACGGTACCATTAAACCAACAAAAATAACAGTAAACTAAGACCCAAGTTACCTTGTTAAGTGATAGTACTTCTGCTTTGCATGCAAGAAATGCATAATTGTTGGTTCTTGTATTTAAGGTTCAGACTATTTCTATGTTTTCTAAAAGTAAAGAATTACTGAACTGAAATAATTCATACTAATCTAGATCCCAGACATAAATATATGAATGGCTGTTGAATTTGGTGTCTTGCCATGGTATTATTCTTTGCTTCTATGATTTCTTTTGAATGGTTTATTTAGCCTGTTCTTTAAATACTGTAGTAGCCTGTCAATCCAACTTGAAATCTGATGTAAACTCTTAAGAAAGAATGTTTTAATAACATCGAAGGAAAAATTACAAAGTATTCTAACTACTCTCCAATCCAACCTCCTCTGCACACAGTTGTATGCATGTCAGCTCCTTATATTTTTCTCAAACATGCTTTGACCCAGGTGACATCACCCCATTCACACTTATGCCTTGCCTCCTGAGCTTCTCAGATACTTTCAATATAGAGCTTGAGTAGTGTAGATTGGCTGCTGGTTAAATCAGTCTTTGAAATCATAGACAAACCTAAGCTGAAGCTAGGCTTGTAACAGAAGTGAGAATAGGTCTACAAAGAACAGAACAGAGTTGGTATTTTTACTTAATTTTTTGCCTTACCGTTAAACCGTCCCAAGACTTTGGTAAGGGATGGTCTACACAAGCTCTAAATAAATATATAAATATGAATTTTAAAAAATAGCATTCAGTAACTGGCATTCAATACTGGCAAATTATGCTGAAATGAGGTGTGATGAAAAGGGGGATAGTCTGTTTTATAATTTACATTTATTTATTTTACAGTCTTTTAATTGGGGTAAACTTAATGGACTGTACTCTAAAAAGACTGCATGTGTTGAAGAAATTTTAATTATGAACATACCCTTTTTGAAAAGGGACGGGATTCCTCAATACACATTATTTGCTTTGTTAACTTAGTTAACTCTGTATAAAATAAACATGTCCATTTTGTAAAACCTCAGTATAGAATTACAAGCACAGTTATCTCTGTTTTAAGGGATATGAGAAATCTGCTAACTGCTTTCTATTACTATGAAAGACAAGTTTTTGGCTACAGTGTTAGCTGATCAAGCTGTAGAACTACAGCCGAACTAGGCATTACGTGCACAATCTACAATATTTCAGTAATGTTTAGCTGAAGCAGACGTGTCATCTTAATACAGTGATGTCATGACATGTATCTGATTTAACTGGATGATACCAAGAAACATGGGGATTGGTGGCAGCCACTCATTTCAGCTCACATATGATGCCAAGATTGAATTTTGCCTGCAATCTCAGCTAAAAGTTCATTTTCTGGAGAGAACTGGAGAGCTGAAATTCAATGTCCACGAACAAACGTCATTTTAAAAAGGTTTGATTGTTTATTCTAGGGGTAAAAGCCATTTAAAAAAAGAATCTGCATCAATTACCTGTCGAAGCTACAGGTGCACTGAGGATGTGATAGCCATTTTGTCGCATAGGGTTAAAGCAATGGGATTCCCCTGATAGTATATCACTGTTGACAGATGACTCCATTGTTCTGTAACAGTCTTCATAGTGGAAACAGTTCGGTATAGAGTGAAAGCTGCCTTGATAACCTGAAAACAGATGTTCAGATATTTTCAGTGTTGGAAGAATGCAATTAGTTTGTTTTCTAGAATTGTTGGTCACAGTGGTTAGCTGTTAAGTATGAATATGCTGGACTGGACATTAGTGATGCTGTTGATTTTAATTTCTACTCTAGTTTACACACAATGGCTTGGATCCAAAATGCCCTTTTTCTTTGCATGATGGGACAAATGTCAGGAGATTCCCAGAGCTGCCGTTGCAGCTGAAGTGGCTGAGCTGGGTGGCAACTGTATCAAGAGAAGCACTAGTACAGTTCAGTGCATGTGCAGTGACTGGCTCTACTCTGCCAATGACACAGCTCTGTTCCAGCATGCCATTATGGGAAGCTTGAACCTCTGCACAAACTACATCAATGCTCAAAGCACACAGGAGTGACATAACTGGAAGCTTGAGTGACTGTATACTTTTCTTGGTAATATGGCACAGTACAGTGGTACCTCGGCTCACAAACGCCTTGGTTCACAACCAAATCGGGTTGCGAACAAAAATTTCATGAAAATTTTGACGTGGGTCATGAACTCTGCATTGGGTGGTGACCAAGATCGCAGCCATCTCCCCACCCGCCACCACGAGTGGGGAGATGGCAATGATCACAGTTAAGTTCGTGCAGGGAAGACGTGCGTGATCATGGGCGCACTCTTGCAGGAAAGATGGGTGCCATCTCAGCCATCTCCCCCCCCCCCCCAGCCAGCATGATCGTGGCCATCTCCCCCCCTCCAAGTGGGGAGATGGCCGAGATCGCGCCAGTCTCTCCCTCCCCCAGTACGCTCTGTTCACACCTGTCTCTCCCCCACTTTCCCAGTGCACCTGCCTCTTTCCCCCTCAGTGTGCTGGGATGACGGGCACGATCTCAGTCATACTGGGGGGGGGGGGGGAGAGATGGCCGTGATCTTTGTTGTTCTTTGTCACTTTGCTTCACATTTTTTTGATTAAAAAAAATGGTTACACAACGGATTAACCTTATTTATTGGAAAAGATCAGTTTACATTCCAATTCCAAAGAAGGGCAAAGCCAATGAATGTTCAAACTACCACACCATTGCACTCATTTCACATGCTAGCAAAGTTATGCTCAAAATCCTACAAGCTATGCTCCAGCAGTATGTGGACCAAGAACTACCAGAAGTACAGGCAGGGTTTCGAAGAGGGAGAGGCACTAGAGATGAAATTGCCAACATACGCTGGATCAAGGAGAAAGCTATGGACTTCCAGAAAAACAGCTACTTCTGCTTCATTGACTACGCTAAAGCCTTTGATTGTGTGGATCACAACAAATTGTGACAAGTTCTGAAAGAGATGGGAGTACCAGACCATCTTATCTGTCTCTTGAGAAACCTATATGTGGGTCAAGAAGCAACAGAAAGAACTGGACACGGAACCACTGACTGGTTCAAAATTGAGAAAGGAGTTTGGCAAGGATGTATACTGTCACCCTGCTTATTTAACTTATATGCAGAGCACATCATGAGAAAGGTGGGGCTAGATGAATCACAAGTTGGAATTAAGATCGCCAGGAGAAATATCAGCAACCTCAGATATGCAGATACTACTACTCTAATGGCAGAAAGTGAAGAGGAACTAAAGAGACTCTTGATGTGGGTGAAGGAGGAGAGCACAAAAGTTGGCTTGAAACTCAACATCAAGAAAACTAAGATCATGGCATCTGGTCCTATCACTTCCTGGCAAATAGATGGAGATGAAATGGAGGTAGTGACAGATTTTATTTTTCTGGGCTCCAAGATCACCGCAGACGGGGACTGCAGCCAAGAAATTAAAAGACGCTTGCTCCTTGGGAGGAAAGCTATGGCAAATCTAGACAGCATACTAAAAAGCAGAGATACCACCCTGCTAACAAAAGTGCATATAGTCAAGGCTATGGTTTTCCCAGTTGTAATGTATGGCTGTGAGAGTTGGATCATAAGGAAGGCTAAGTGCTGAAGAATTGAAGCCTTTGAATTGTGGTGCTGGAGAAGACTCCTGCGAGTCCCTTGGACAGCAAGGCGATCAAACCAGTCAGTCCTAGAGGAGATCAACCCTGACTGCTCTTTAGAAGGCTAGATAATGAAGATGAAACTCAAATACTTTGGCCACCTAATGAGAAGGAAGGACTTGCTGGAGAAGAGCCTAATGCTGGGAACAATTGACAGCAATAGAAGAAGGGGACAGCAGAGAATGAGGTGGCTAGATGGAGTCACTGAAACAGTCAGTGTGAGCTTAAGTGGACTCCGGGGGATGGTGGAGGACAGGAAAGCCTGGAGGAATGTTGTCCATGGGGTCATGATGGGTCGAGCACAACTTTGCGACTAACAACAACACACTGACCCTAATGGGGAAATTTAACTTGGCTCATAACCAATTTGGGTCACAACCAGAGTCCTGGAACAGATTAAGGTTGTGAGCCAAGGTACCACTGTACTGGCAATAGCCTTCCTTCACAGAACATAGAGACAAAGACCATGCCAGACTACGGGCCATGACTTGATTTTGAGTATCATAGGTACATATATGTACAGTTTAAGGGCTGTTATTTTTCTTAAGATAAATGCTGTCTTTTGTTGTTTGTTACAAAGTCATGTCCAGCCCAGTAGTCTTCCCATCTGATACCCTTCAGGTGGTTTGGACTGCAATCAGAGGCAAATGAAGTTACTCTAAGTACATAGAGTTTGCCAATGGGAAAAAAATAGTAGACACAGTCCCACTTGATTTATGGTGGGACAGGCTTCCCACATAGTGTGGCATCTTTTTTCCATAACATGGGCAACTTCTTTCTTTTGGATTAAACCAGTGGACACTGGGAGGAGACTCTGCCAAATGCAAAAGGACACTTTTCAGAGGGAGAAAAAAGACATATGAAAACACTTTGGAATGTAAGTAGAATTTTGTTCTTATTACTCTTACGGGAACATTGGTTGCAGGCTATGAGCAGCACTGTTTACTTGCATCCAATATGAATGATTTCAACATGCAGTTAAAGTCAATTATTCTTTTTGCTTATTTCAATCTTTATGGAAGTTCATCATGACCAATCTAAATTCATTTATTTACTCTGTCATTCAGATATAACTGAAACAAACTTTGTTTCTCTATGGCTCAATAGCCAAAGCACTCCAAGAAGTGTACAGCAATTGAGAAAAATATAAAAAAGTAAAATTATCATAAATTTCACTAAAAAATGTAAACCCCATTTTTACAGCTTTATCAAGTTAGGTTCATACAGCTGGGTCTCCTGAAACAGCTGACTGCCTTCACCAGCCCCAGTGTAATTTCAAGCTGTTAAATGCCTTGGCACAGGGGACAGTCTTGGCCTGGCACCAAAAGGATCATACATTTGCCACTAGCTGAGCCTCAGTGGGGTGATCAGACCAGTGGGTGCTACCTCAGAGAAGGCCTCCAGTACCACCAAAGGAGCCCCCCCTTGGAGTTGGTGATCAGCATAATGATGGCAACTCCAGATGATCCCAATGAGCAATATGTTAAATAGCATGTGGGGTAAAACCAGCCCTTGGGAAAACCAATATTGAAGAATCCATGGAGCTGAGCAGTATCTTTAAGCACCACCTTCTGAAGCCAATCATTCTAGTAGGAGCAGAACCACTGCTGTGCATTACCTGCCTTTCAACTCTGACAGCTACCACAGAAAGATATCAAGGTCAATGGTATTGAAAGCCACTAAGAGGTCCAGGAGCTATCGGCAGGGTAGCACTCCTTGTCTCTCTCGGCATAGGTCATCACATATGATGACTGAAGCTGTTCGCATGCTAAAACCCAGCCTGAATCCTGACTAAAACAGATACAGATTATAAGTCTCATCCAAAAGTGTCTGGAGCTGGCTGGCCATCACTCACAGACATTCACCATTGGCCTAGAAACTGGGTCCAGAAAGTGTTCTTGAGAAATAGTCTTTCACTTACTCTTTAAGGTGGCATGGTACAAGCAGGTTACTTACATGCAACTGATGTTCTTCGAGTGGCCATCTGTGCAGTCACACATATGGGTGCTGAGCCTGCGCAGTGCCTTTGGCAGGAAGATTGAAAGCTAATGGTTTTGGCGGGAAGCTCCGCTCCCCCTCCCCCCTACAGCTTATATAGTGCGAAGCGTCCGCCATTTTGTTCAGTCTTTGAAGACCAAACGTTCGCCCCCATGTGGAAAAAAGGAGTGTCTACTAAATGATATCGGTACCATAAAGAAAAAACTGTTTGGTATCGATGAAATATGTCCACTCACCGACAGAGAGTGGGGCCGGCAGGTGGGTTGTGTGACTGCACAGATGGCCACTCGAAGAACATCAGTTACAGGTAAGCAACCTGTTTTTCTTCATCGTGGCCTCTGTGCATCAGATATATGGGTAGATTAGCAAGCTTACCCTTATTGGAGGAGGGAAGGTGTCCTTAGCGAAGAATAGAGGAGAGAACAGCTCTGCCAAAGGAGCAGTCTTGCCTAGCACGAACGTCCAGCCAATAATGCTTAGCAAATGTACATGGAGTTGCCCAACTGGCAGCTCTGCAAACATCATCAATTGGGACTCCCGATGTGAAGGCAGAAGAAGCAGCGACAGCTCTAGTAGAATGACCCCTTGGGATTGTAGGTAAGTCAATCCTAGCCAGCTGATAGGATAGAGTAATTGTATAAACTATCCACTTGGAAAGTCTTTGAGGAGTAACTGGAAGACCCTGATTTTGCTCAGAGTATTTGACAAAGAGCTTGTTGGAACGTCGGATAGACCCAGTCCTTGATCTGTAAAAAGCCAGGCAGTGCCGAACATCAAGTGAATGTAAGGTTCTCTCTATCGGATTCGTCAGGGACGGAAAGAAGGCAGGTAAGACAATATCTTGTCCCATGTGAAAGGAGGTGGCCACCTTGGGAAGGAAGGATGAATCCATTTGCAAGACAACTTTCTCTCTGTGAAAATTTAGATATGGAGGATCTACCCGCAGAGCACAGAGCTCACTAGCTCTTCGAGCTGATGTTAC